ATTCAACAGAACCTTTATATAAAAGTATCAATTTATTATCGTTTAATAGCGGAGCAATATCGATACAATTCTAATTCGCTTTAACGCGAGAAGGCACTGTCTCGACACACGGATTCACAGCGTTAAAGTATACTCGAGTCATACATAATTATAACTAATTGTAGCATCTTCAAGATAAAAGTTGATCGGGACCGTCTCACAAAAGCAAATCAGTCTTGAGCATTTATCCTTCAATTCTTGTGCCCTTTGTCGTACCCAAACTTCTTCCCAGCCTGATGATCACCCTTTTTCCCGTAAGCTTGATGATGGCTGTAATGATCGTCGTGCCCGTGTTTCCCATGATGTCCCTTGTGATGAGCATCGATGTGACCCTTGTCGTGGTGTCCTTTCTTGCCCTTGTGATCCTCGTGATAGCCAGAGTGTTGATGTCCACCCTTCTTATGCTCGCCCTCCTTCTTCTCGTGGTGCCCGTGGAAGTCACCGTGCTTCTTATGGTGGCCGCCTTTGTGGTAGTCGTCGTAGAACTTGTGCTCCTTGTGGTACTCGTCCTTGTGGAATTTGTTGTGGTAGCCCTTGGTCTTGTGGCCCTTCTTGTGACCCTTTTTCTCACCGAATTTGCCACCTTTGTGGCCCTTCTCGCCCTCGTGGTGCTCGCCGTACTTTTCGTGCTCGTCGTGATGAGCTTTCTTGTGGCCCCCGTGTTCCTCGTGGTGGCCCGCGTGGTGCTCCTTGTCGTGCTCACCCTTGTCGTTCTTATCGTGATGGTGATGACTCTTGTACCCTTTCTCGCCCTTGGCCTCGTGCTCTTCGTGGTGATCGGCGTGATGACTTTGCCCGCCGCTGGACTCGTGATGATGACCCTTGTGACCAGAAGCCGCGGGCACCAGGTCGCTTTTAGGCTCCTGATCGCTCGTACTCGAATCCGAAGTCGCCGAGGACTCGCCTTCCGCTATCTGAGCATCGCGACGAGGGCGATAAGCGTTTAGTTCTCGCGCGTGACAAGTCTGCAGCAGAAGCAGCAGACACGAAGCAACTGTGACAAGGTACGAGACTCGTCGCAGCATCTCGATCTGGTCTCGATGCGATCATCGAACTGATCACCGACCGACGCCGCGGGTGATACTTAAATATCCACGGTTCGATTATGTCCGTCACGGGGCTTCCCATCGTTTCCGCAGACTTCAACTTTCATCCGTGAGACCGCAAGCCTTCCGTCGCCATCGTTGTCGTAAGTGGGGCGGACCTGTTCACACTTTCTCGCGCTTGTAATGAAAATGATACGCTGTTTTTGGCGGGATTCGAGCAAAAAACTCGAAACTCGTTAGGTATGTCGAAAGAAATTCACATCATAGACGACGTAACAGTGCGAATCGAATTGTCGATAAACTGTCCAATATCGATTCTAATCCTATTAGTCGCGACATAAATTCGTTTCGTCTTCCCCGCGACTCGTAAATGCCACGATATTTATAACGTCATAAGCTGAAATCAATTTTATTGGAATTCTACAGGCTCTCGCGGAACATACATCACCGTTCGATGACCACCGTTCGTTTCTCGGATCGTTTCGCTAACTGCTTACCTATCCGTTCCGTTTATGCTGACCATTTTATGCGTCTTTGCAAAATCTTGGAGCAATTCAATATCTTTAAGACATTACCTTTGAAACTGTGCGCAACGCAGCAGTTATCTCGGCGCAGGAACATCTTGATCGTCGGTTATTTTACTGGGACCTAAGATAGCAAAAGTTCATCTGTAAAAAAGTTTGTACCCACGAATGACAAGAAAGATCAACTCCAATCTGTTAATTGACGATCGGTAAATTATTCAATGCTACACTGGCTAACGAATCGAGTCCAGCTCGTCCGGGACGTCGATCGTTCGGGCTCATTAGCATTCCCACCGAGTGTCCGGAAATAACCAGACAGCGATTGGGAAGGAAGGGGTGTATCCGTGAACTCGATACAAAATCATCGACCTTTCTTTCGAAGCTACTTATTCCGCGGGTCGCAGCGCCGTCCTCGAATCTCCATTGCAAATCAGGAGAGCCGAATTCGCAGTTTGAAACGGTGATCGATAGATTCGAGCTCTTTACGACCTTATTTGGCAGGCTCTTCGGCTAGAGATTGGCTCCTCCGGCGTTGGCGCTGCATAATCAAGATAAAGATTGGTTACTGCAACGGCGTTCCATCGGGCTCCTTTAGACAGGGAGAAAACTGGATACCAGAGGCTCTGCCAACTTCGATTTGGACTCGGCATCGTCGTAACGGAGATTAGATTAGGTGGCGTTCCCTTTGGACCTTCAAGATGGAGAGATTGCTTTGTAAGCAGATCCAAGGACGCCGCCGCGCCGCGCGCCGGTTCGCATCTGGCGCGGGCGTGGAGTATCCGCTCCTTCGTTTGGTAAAGAAGAGGCCACCACCGACTATTAAATTAAGCTTTCGACTGTCCCACGATAACTCGAAAACATTTCAATCAAGTGCTATAGCGATCTCGTGCTCTGGTTATTTCTTTTTTATCGTCCAATGAAACGCGATTTTATTTTCTATCCTCTGACTCGACCGCTGGTTTCATTCCGAAACGCTTTTCTATGGAATGTAGTATCTTAGGTATTGAGAATTTTGTAAACTGGTGACGATTATGAAAGTAGATAGGAAGAAACAAATTATTCTCGAATGTAACATTTGTCACACGCAAGGACAAGTTAGACCGCCAGCGCATTAAAATCTTTCCGTGAAACGCAACGGTGACCAGCGTTATCGTACCCCGACGAATCCTCTGTCGTTTCAAATTTTCATTTCCAGGGAACGAACTTTTTCTTTTTTCACGGTTCTCCGCAACGACGTCAGATTCGAATACCTCTTTTACAGATTTGCTTAATTACAGCAAGCTCCGTGTCGCTCGCCAACGTGGCGAGGCAACGCCGCGAGACGGGTTCGGGGGTGTGCAATCAGTTGATGGCAACGAACCCCGACCCTCTGTCGTCCTCTCGCCGGAACTGCTTCGCATTCAAGGCTAACGCCTCGTCAACTGGCCACGTTTCCGCTCTTTTACCTCTTCTTTCCCTCCCCGAATCATCCCTTTAGCTCTGCGAATAAAATCGACGAACAACGAAGGGCTAACCTCTTAAAACGATAATGAAATTGTTTTCTAATTTGAATCCAGTTAATTCTCCGTCGTGTGAATTATTTCTCTCCTTGGATTTATTATAGTTTTTGTATTTGTACATCCACGGAGTAACGAAGAATTTCGCCTATTTTCAGAATATCATATTATTCTCTCGTACATAATATACACCCCCGTCGTGCACCTACACCCACTGGTCTTTCAAGCTATCGGCGTACCGCTCGGTCGCAAAATGGCAACGGTAACACTTATGGGTAACGGCCCTAATTATAGTTTGCTCTGATAGTTTCGAGAACACTGGCCCATAAATTAGAGTCCCTTTGGTCATTTCGCGTGAGTTTACGATGCGTCAATTGCCACTGAGAGCGATACGACTGAACTGTTCCCCAGAGATAGGTGACTGATATTGCGCTCCTGACGCTAGAACCATGAATGTGGAAATGATCACTCTTTGATTAAAGACGTCTATCAAACTGTTAAACGTTTGTTTTTTTCTTCATAGTTTTATTCTAAAATAATACAGACGTGTATACGTTAGATAGGTAGATTCACTTACGATGATACACTCGGGAATACAATTAATTAATCGTTTGATATCCGAGAAGAACCGTCGGACAAGTTGTATGAATTTCGTATAATGGTCGGGCGACACACATCCCAGCCAAGTGTTGTTCGCGAATCCGACGAATGTCGTATCAAACGAGAGGCCTCGATGACAGCGGAAATCATCCTTTGTCACGCGCAGCGTTTAACAATAATTATCTAGAGCAATTAACGAACCGATTCCATGTCCGTGGGCGTCACGAAAGTTTCCTCGTTATAAATAATTGCAAAATTTACCACGAATTTCCGCGTTCGGGGCGTCAAGCGCTGCACGTCCGCCGCAACTAGTCTGATGCGATGGTCGCGTGACTGAGCGTACTTTTTAACAAACACCCCCGGCGAGTTCTTCGTCGGTCGAGCAGGCCTACGCTAACGACGTCCCAGGGCTCTGCAACTACGTCCAATCCAAGACGAGCTGACAGGATTTTAGCGCTACCGTTAGGTGTGTCTGTTGGGGGAGCAGTTTGGTCTACAACTTTCATGGAGTGGACTTTTTTTTAGTGTAATTACTTCAAGTTCTAGGTACAGATGGGGAACATTGTTGCCTATGAAACATGAGAGTAATAATGACACTGATATTATGGTATTGAAACAACTGGCAGAAAAGAATTAAGTTAGGCAGCTTTCTGATTGTCGGTACCTGAGGTGTTGCAACACAATTTTTACTTTATTCGTTATGCAATCGCATGGAAATCAATATTTCGTTTTTAATAGCTGAAGCTTTCGGAACAGACAGTTTTTCGGGCTTGCAAATATCAGAATCGTACAGCTTGGTTATTAGTTACAATGACGTTCGAAACGAAACCAGGGCTCATGTTTCGAGAACAATTCCAACATCAAAATTGACATTTGATCCTCTCCAATTAAACTTACGTGACGGACGTGGAAATAGACATACTACATACTTTTTGCGAAAAAAATCGACTACCCGTCATCTCTTTTTCCTTCATCGTTCCAGTTCTTAAATGACGTAACAAGAACATGTTTTCCGATTAATTTTTTGCGCGCGCTGACCGCCTACTATCTACTGGGATTAAATTAATTACCACGCGTCGACCATGGATAGACAATGCTAATTTAACGAGCTACGATAGACGGTAGATTCGGATAATTAATTGCAATTTTGATCGATTCATCGACGCGATACACTTGTAGAATATCATTGATTTCCGCAACAACAACGAGCTACCTTTAAGCAGCATTTAAATTGCACACCGCATTCGTTGTGTAATAAATGCGTTGTATATTTGTAACGATTGATGTAACGGTTGGCCGTCCATGGGTGAACGACCGTGACAACACACCAATCACAATTCCATTAAAAGACATAAACAATCGACATTATTATTATTAACGATTGTTCTCGTGACTGTTCATTTTTAACGGATTTATCTTTAATTGTGTCGGTTGCATCGAGACAAAAATATGCGGCGATCTAATAAAAGTTGTACTCGATATTAACGCTAACTTCAGTTGGTCGGTTTATACGATTACATTTTTACCGAAACATTACTCGACATCGAACATGAACGTAGAAAACTTTCCTCGACACCCTACGCGGAGACTGTTTGAGTAAAATGGCTGACAATTCGAGGCCAATCCAGCCGGCAAGGATTAATAGTAATGGTTTCCCTGGTTTCCATGTTCGTCGCCGTAGTTCCTCGAGTAGGAGCTGTGGGTTTCGTAAGAACCGTCGTTTCCTTCTCCATCCGCATAGCTTTCACCATGACCGTAACTCGAGGATTCTGGTCCATGATCCGTATAGTGAGCATAGCTGCCGTGATCACTGGCTTCGACTTGTTCATTGCCCTGATCGTCATGGTCCCCCTCGTCAGCTGTGTAGCGAGTATCGACGATGGTACCTGGGACAAATTTATAATTCTATTCCTAAACGAGCATAAAACATCGCCTTACGGTAATCGGCTTAAGCCTGTCGAATATTTTTACAGTAATCAATGTACGTACAAAAGTTATTAACAGGATATCGTTTAACTGAAAAATAATTAGTAGAATGGCCGGATATGCCGTTAAAATTAATACGGAACGAGCACGTAAGTAAATGCGTTCGGTTAATATCATTATCCTGACGTTGCAGTTTTATTGTCGATCGATGGCAAAGTTTGCCGAGGTAAACACGCGATGGGTGTAGATTGATTAGAAAGTTAAAAGCGAAAGAAATAAAAGTTAAAAGGCATCAACGTGGTTGGTCTTCGGACAATAACCAATAACCGAGCAAAATAATGCAAGTTAATTCACTGGTAACCAAGATTGAAAAAACGACGAAATATTTCCGTAGAATTAAAATGGAAGGAGCCAATCGAAACTCGAATAACATTTTCTCTCGTAGAAAGAATAATTGCAATTGGTCGCGAGTTTTCGTCCAGTCGAGCCAAAAGCTCCGATACGCTTGGGTGAATTAAAATCGCACAAAGTCAAGATTAAAAGATACGCCAAAATGTTTTCGTTCAATCTACATAAAAGGATCCCGCTGAAACTTGATTAAAATTATCTTTCATACCAAGGAAAAATGCAATCGGCCACGATCCTCATCCAGCCACACACGGATACCGTCAAGTTACGTTCAATTAAAAATTCATGTTTGCCGAGTTCGCAAATTAGCTAGGAACGGCGTTTCTTGGGTTCCCTTGTTCGCGATGGTTGCCGTGCAATTACGTACTTTACATTGTACAATTTCGCTCTACCTGCACCCTCGTGATCACCGCTTTTCCTGGAACGAGAGCCAGCATCGTCGTGGTGGCTACTTTTCTTGTCGCCATGCTCTCCGCCGTAGGCAGCGTACTTCTCGAATGCGTACTTGTCGCCATCCTGCTTGTGGAAAGTGTCGAGGATCTTATAGCCGTGATTGCCCTTGTTGTAGGTTGCCGTCATGTAACCCTTCTCGCCCTCGGCGTCGCTGCCGTACGTCTTATAGTATCCTCCCTCGTCTGATTTCCCTAAAACCACCGTGATATTCGTCCTCGTTATCGCTTATGACACCGCCAACCCTCGCGAATACTCCAGACAGAGAGAGGCTTAAGGCTCTCACCTAATCCTTTTCGCGAACTGTCTTGCCAGTCGTTTTCACACTCTCTACTTTGCTGGAAGAATTATATCGCAGTGAAAATAGCGTTGTAGAAATTTCAGGGATTACCTTTCAAAAAGGAGATACTGTTTTCTTAGAAAACAGGATTCTCAAACAAGTAACGTTCAAAAAGTACACTTTCCGACTTTTCGAATCCAGCTCGATGAACATTTGTAAGATTCATCGGACATTGGTATTATTAGCGAATCTTTAGTTTATTTGCATTTAATTTTCTCGATGGAAAAACCAAAAGAGAGGACCGTTTCTCTAAATTGAATAATAGGAAACGTATTCAATCGAATAAACGTTGCCCAGAATCAAATTCATTCCGCGTTGACAATCAAAAACATTCTCATGTTAGCTGCATCGTTATTGATATTACTGGGAGCGAAATGTATTATCAGGGAAATCTTATCATCGCGCAACGCATCAAAATTTATACGATCATCGGAAAGCCATTCTCGTTGTTTATTTTATTGTTTTCCGAACGTAAATAAACCGCCAAGTTAATCAGTTAATGGGAATCCAGTAATTACTTAAACAGAATCGATTATTATACGTATAGCTTTGGAACTTGCACGCGCATATTTCGAAATTCAGGGATTATTTGAATCGTAAATTATATGCTGTTTACGATTACGGTAAACTTGGAACAATTTTTACTGGAAGGTAGAAATGAAGTTTCTCGGAATTCTTATTTTACCAACACAGCCAATTAGTACCAGTTCTCGACAAAGAGACATAAACAACTTACCAGAGACATTTTTCACGTGCTTTTTGGGAGCACGATCCTTTCCTGGCGCGTTTCCTGCGCCAAGGAGATCCTCGACTTCCGTAGCAATGGTAAAAGTTAATGGTGCCGCTTCTCGAACGTCCCGACGAATCGACTCGACGCTGACGACGCCGACGTCATCGATAGCCGCAGTCCAACCGCGACACGCGAAAATAGTAAGCAGGAGAGGTCCTCGCCACATATCGTCGACGATCCGGATTCACCGATATCGGTATCGATCGTTTGTGTGCTAATCACGAGCAAAGGCAGCTTTATTCGCCTCCTCCCACTCAACTCTGTCTACGAATTTTCTTCGCGGCAGAAGGGATACCGATGCAAATCACGGAGACTGAACAAATTTCGCAACAACTTGGAGCTGTCGAGTTATTGAGATGTCACGATCGCTTCTGGAATTAGGGCAGTCAGAAGTAGCAAAATCGAGGTTGTCTTAGGATTCGGTTGCGACGATGAAACTGATATTAGACCCGTGGGACAGGGGTGTTTAAATTGGACGATTCACTAGAATTTTTTAAACCAAAAACCTGTGTCTTTCGGATATCGATAACAGAACTTTCTCTCGTCGTGAAATTGCTTTCTACCCAACTCGAGCAACTCGACGCAAGGTTTCGTTCTTACGGCGAAAAGATTTAAGCACAAAAACAAGAAACTCTTGGAAACTAGGATGGACGCGTGCCGCACGAGTGATTTCACACTTTCCATGACTGCGGGAATAAAGAGATCGATCGGTACACAATCGAGTGACATAACGGCATCGAGATCGTTGCTCCGCGCGAAAGCGTTCCCATTTTTTCGTCCCAGCGATTGACGCAGAATCGACATTTCTTACACGAGCGATCGTTTTTCGGTTGTTCATTATTTCACATCTGTTACAGAGACGTTTCAGTCATTCGATTGTAACGCGAATCGTTAGAAGCATCGCGAATGACCGTTCCTAGGGACGTTTTTGTCAGATCGATTCCGGGACTGTTGGAAATTGTGTAAGCGAAACGAACATAAGACGCGGTTACGTGAACTCTGTAATCGCGTATATACAGTGATTCTAGAAATTTGGAATTTGTCCTTTCTGAGCGAAGATAGAAATAGGAAAGAGCTGAAAGCTTTTTTCATTTACAAACATTCGATACACGTGTGAATTTAGGCAATATTTTAAAGAACAGCTTTCGAAAGTTGCTGAAAAATGTTTTTTTTATCATTGTACAGTAATACACATACCTTGCCCTTCTTTTTAACTGTCAAGTTCTGAAATACTTTGAGGCGCAGTTATTAAGAATTTTTTGCTTCGAATAGCATGCGTGACGAAGACCGTCTTCGTCGCGAATAAAATGTCGTCGCAGAGAATGCCGTTCATAGGACGAGAGAATTTCAGCCATCCACCCAGCCACGGGCATAATTCTTCTGGTCTATTTCAAGCAAAAATAAAAAAGAAAGACGAAGAAGAAGATGAAGAACGAGAAGGAGAAGAGGAATGGAAGCGTCAGAAGCGTCGACATAATCGAGCTTAAAACCGCGCGAACCGGTCGCCGCAAGCCGACGCTAAGCGCCCTAGATGCTTGCCACGCCAGCTTCCATCGTGATAATCCGGTAATTTGAAAATCTTGGATGAAATGTAACTCTCTGAAACGATTCGCCATCTTGTCCTCTGTCCGAATCCTCGTTCCTTCGACTTTTGTTGCAACGCGATTCGAATTAATGAAAGCGGTCGTGTCAGAATCAAAGGAAGAATGAATATTAACCTAATTAATCTGGGATCCTGATTTAATAAATGCGAGAAACTGGGGTTTGGCGAATCTCAGAGGCCTTAAGCGTTTCGAGAAATTCTGTGAATTTTGCTCGTGTGAAAGTCTGGACTTGGACGACTTTAATTTACTTACTTATTACGATCGTTGAAGTGGTGATTATCGCAAAATGATATATCGCCCTACGAAAAACACCTATAAACGCTGCGAGGCCAAAAGAAAATGTAAAGCGCAATGTTTTCTGAGGAGAAGCTCCCTTTAACGAGTTTCCATCAATCTCGCGAAAGACAAGAAAACTGTTCGAAAGATAAATATAAATAAAAGCGCAGTTCCCTCATCAGCCGACATTATCGATATACTGGACAGCATTGCAAAACGAGCTGCAAGTTCTTGTGAAAGTTTATCCCGAAGGCCGTTCTTTATTTTTCCTTGGCCTACCCCTCGGAAATCCGTTAAAGGACACCCATTAATCAGCCTGTTCTTTTGCCCGTGTCAAGCCCTCGGTTTCCTATAGCTTGCCGACGGGGGGCGTCAAAAACTGAGGAGACACCCTCGTTGCCTTTGTGAACTACAATATAATAATGTCTTAGTTACGGTGTACAACAAGGATTACACGTATAAAATTGGCGAACGAAGGACGAAGATTTGCATGGGTTACGGGTTTCATTAAAGAATTGGACTGAGCCCCAAATGTATACAGCCGTTGCAAACAACTAAACTGCATTTTAAACTTGCTGCAATTTAGCCAGTGATCGTATTAATTCTCGTAACGGGCTTTCGAGAAAGATCAGTGGAAGGCAAAAGCAGGCGGCATAAAGAGCGGCAAAAATTGCATGTGCGAAGGGAAATAGGAGAGATAAGTCCGCGGGAATGCGTTTCGAGGGAAAACAGAGCGCGGCAATTTTCACGAGCAACGGCGCTCTTTATTAAAACCGCCAAGTCCGTTTCGGTGTAATGAAATTAAAAGTAAACATTGCTCCGCGATTTATCCCGAAGCCCGGTCCTCCCGTTCCCGTGTTTCCGTGCTGGAAACTCGGTAGATCCAACCGAACGGAAAAATGCGTTGATCGAGCTCGAGTGTACACGTACACACGCGCCTAGGCACGGATGTCGACGCACCAGCCGGGAAAACGACAGCCATTCTTCCTAAATAACGCTAGCCAACCCCGCTGGATATACATATTTCTCGCAAGTGGATTCGCAACCCTGACATGATGTCGCGTACCGTATCGAACATCTGTATGTATAACGACACGCGGAACGTCGATACTCGAGGCGCCGAATACATTAGGACGTCTGTCCCTGCCAACATTCCAACAGCTATCGATTACATACGTCAAATCTCTGTACGTACTTGGAATATTTCGCACCCCATGCGATTTACCAGTCACCTACCCGTGGCTTTCTCCAAGGAAGTACTCGACTTACTAGAATTACCGATGTATTCCGAGTTGATTCATTCTTATATTGTCACTGTAGTTTCAAATAGGTTTTCAGTTTATCATTAGGTAAATCAGTTTAAATCATAAAACATCTAACGGCGTTAGCTGTACAGATTTCGAAAAGTACATCTCAATGCTTGGCTTGCAGTAATAGCGTGCAATTCGAATTTATCGACTCATTGGAAGTAGCTCCGCGCACGAACGGTAACGATTGAATTATGAAATTGAACGATTCCTGGACACTCGACGGTAACAATTTTATCGGTTCACGGCTCGCTATATTTGGCGTCATCGAGGAGATAATACAGAACGGTGGAACACGTTTCGTCCCTTTTGCGAGAAATTGAGGAAATAAATCGCGTAAGGAAATCAGGAGATACAGAAGTTCGATTCCACTCGAATGACCTCATTTCTGGCAAGGATTCCAAAGATTTTATCGTTAAACTTGCCCCCCTCTCTGTCTCATGACGTACATCGATAATACCAGCCATCGAGTATAGCTGTAAAATGTGCGAACATCCACCTTTTTCGCTTGGTAAGTGATTTGTATCACTTCTCGATTACCAAGTCATTCGTATCGCTTTCTGCTTAGCAAGCGATTCGTGCACTTTTTTCAATTACTCGGCGACTTTTATTTTCTTCTGATTATTAAGCGACTGTGGTGAAACGATTGCTGCGTTGTCTCTTTTGATTAAATTTCCGAACACTTAGAGAATCCATCTACAGACACGAAAAGATCAAATTTTATAGCGACATATGCATTCTTTTCGGAAACCAATCGCCGAACCAACACTTCAGTTCCGAGTAACTTTTTCCTCCCACAGCTTTCAAGAATATCAAGTAAACAATCAAAGAACTCTTTTCGAAAACCCACCAATCAAGCATATTGTCGTGTCTGCCCCAACGGCGAAGGCCAATATAATAAAAGACAGCGGAAACTGATTCAATCTAGCGTATCCCTCGAGAATCATCTCGTTTCTCTTCGATCATGTTGTCGTGGACTGTATACGACTCTGTTCCTCCTCGATATCCGACATTCCTCCCTGCGTCATTTTCCGAAATCTGCTCGACTCTCGCTACAGACGGGAAAGATAGTAAACTTCTTTGTCGGAGATTCCGCAATGGGGTAGTTCCTCGCGATGGAATGGTGCACACCAGCCTCTCGAATATTTTTACACTATTTGTGACATACAAATATAGCGTAACATCCAAGTGGACGTTCTCGTCGGCCGCCGTTGATATTCGATGAAATTTTCCTCCTAACGAGGTGTCAGGAGATATCTGGCACTGATTCGATTTCACGGAGAACTCTTCTCGTTCTTTGGTAAAATTCAATTTCGTCTTGAATCTCAGAACCTGTCGCGGAACAAGTTAGACTGCATTTGAACCGGGACGGGCAACTAATTAAACGCCCCTCTGAGATTTGCATTCCTCCGATCAGCTGAACATCCTTTCAATTTTTCCTCCAAGTAAATTCCAGGGAAGCGTTCCAGCGAAATTCTTTCCGAGACTTCCCTTGGACATAATCTTGCTGGAAACTGTCGAACGAATCCGATTCCAAAGCATTTTCTTAGAATTTTGGCATGAGACGTAGACGAGGAATTTTTTGATAGCGTTTGTCTTTCCGATTTAACGTAAACACTGTTGATATGTTTATTCAGAAGCCTAATTAACCAAACCTAGAAACCTAAACCACCTTACGTTCGCAATCGCTGGCAAAAATCGAGGTGAAAATTCTCCAGTGGGAGTAATCGTAACGAGCAAGGAAGACGAAACAGCCAGAAGAAGAAGAAGAAGATGGCTCCTGCAGGCTGGTAAGTCGGAGGTGGATGGATTCTGTCGGGATTCAAGCTGATGCCATTCATCTTCGTCTCTTGAGTGAGCAACGAGCTAGCCTTGGCTCTCCGCTGCTACGGGACACGCTCCTCTATCATGTTCACCAATACTTTGATCCCTTCGCTGTTTCACCCTGTTTCTTGTGTACGGATGCATGCCCCGTTTCGACTTATTTTATCCCTCAACCCCCGCCGGCGTACCTACAGTCTTTCCCGTTCGACG